AACTCTGGAATCTAGTTTCGATTCTTTCATCCCCAGTATTAATTCTGGGTGATATGAACTCCCATGGTACTGTGTGGGGCGATCTATATGATGACAATAGAGCGGCTATTTTTTACGATTTATGTGACGATTTCAATTTGACTATTTTGAACACTGGTGAAGCGACACGAATAGCAAAACCTCCGGCTCGAGAAAGCCGACTCGACCTATCTTTGTGTTCAAGATCGCTATCATTGGATTGTCAGTGGAAGGTTATCAATGATCCCCATGGTTGCGATCATTTGCCAATCATCATTTCAATAAAGTGTGGCCCTCACTCTGCAGAACCATCTCGGGTTCCATTTGATCTTACAAGGAACATCGACTGGCAGAAATATGCAACGGCGGTGACAATCGGTGTCGAATCAATAGATGCGCTTCCACCATTGGAAGAATATCGATTCCTAGCCGATTTGATTTACAAAAGCTCACTGGAAGCACAAAAAAGAAAAGTTCCAAGTGCACCCTTTAAAAGGAGACCAGCCACACCTGGTTGGGACGAAGAATGCACAAAATTGTATGTAGAAAAATCTGATGCTTTCAAAGCTTTTCGTAGACACAAAACCTCCACTTACTTCGAGGAATATTCAAAGCTTGAGACAAAGCTGAAACAATTAATCAAAGCAAAAAAACGCGGTTATTGGCGCAATTTCGTCGAGGGACTCTCACGAGAAACCTCAATGAACACCTTGTGGAGGGTGGCTCGCAACATGCGTAACCGCTCATCTTCTAATGAGAGTGAAGAATACTCCAACCGATGGATATTCGATTTCGCTAAAAAGGTCTGTCCGGACTCAGTTCCAGCACAAAATATTCTTCGAGAAGCGTCTCCTAGCGGCGGCTCTCTGGATAGACCATTCTCAATGCTGGATTTCTCTATGGCTCTTCTTTCATCGAACAACTCCTCACCGGGAAGCGATATGATTAAATTCAATCTTCTGAAAAATCTCCCAGATATCGCTAAAAGACGCTTGCTAGATTTATTCAATTCCTTGCTAGAAAACAACATTGGACCGCCTGAATGGAGACAGGTCAAAGTAATAACCATTAAAAACCTGGCAAATCAGCGTCTGACCATAACTCATACCGTCCGATTGCTATGCTTTCGTGCATTAGGAAATTGTTGGAGAAAATGATCCTTCGGAGACTCGATCACTGGGTCGAATCAAATAACTTGCTATCAAATACACAATTTGGGTTCCGCAAGAGCAAAGGAACAAACGATTGTCTAGCGCTGCTTTCCACAGATATTCAACTGGCCTTTGCACACAAGGAGCAATTGGCTTCAGTATTCTTGGACATTAAGGGGGCTTTTGATTCAGTTTCCATTGAAATTCTGTCAGACAATCTGCACAGATGTGGACTTTCTGGAATTTTAAATAATTTCTTGTACAATTTGTTGTCAGAAAAGCAAATGAACTTTTCCCTTGGACAACTGACAACTTCCAGAATTAGCTACATGGGCCTGCCCCAAGGCTCATGTCTCAGCCCTCTTCTTTATAACTTTTACGTCAAAGATACAACTGTTTGGCAGAACAATGCACGCTAAGACAACTTGCAGATGACGGTGTGGTTTCCGTAAGAGGTCCACATGCCGTGGACTTGCAAGGACCATTGCAAAATTCCTTAGATAACTTGTCTTCTTGGGCTATGAATCTAGGGATCGAATTCTCGCCGCAGAAAACTGAACTGGTAGTGTTTACTCGAAAGCGGTATCCAGTCCAAATGCAGCTTAATCTTTTGGGCAGAAACATTACCCAATCATTGTCTTTCAAGTACCTTGGGGTCTGGTTTGATTCAAAGTGCCCTTGGAATGCTCATATTACGTATTTGAAGCAAAAATGTCAGCAGAGGATCAACTTTCTCCGTTCAATTTGCGGCACATGGTGGGGTGCTCATCCGGGAGACCTCATAACGCTTTATAAAACAACTATTCTCTCTGTTCTAGAGTACGGCTCTTTCTGCTTTCTCTCGGTAAGAAAAAGTCACCTAATAAAATTGGAACGAATTCAATATCGTTGTCTGCGTATTGCTCTAGGCTGTATGCACTCAACGCATAACATGAGTCTCGAGATTCTGGCAGGAGTAACACCCCTCCAGAACCGTTTCTGGGAGCTCTCTCTCAGAATACTAATCAAATGCGGAGTGACGAACACACTTATAATTGCAAATTTTGAAGAAATTCTTGGGCTGAACACACAATCTCGATTTATGAGAATCTACCACCACTACATATCGTCGGATATGTGTCTTCCTTGTTATACTCCAGACCGTGTTCACTTCACCAATCGCAGTTCCTCAATTGAATATGATCTGACCATGAAACAAGCAACTCATGGGATTCCCGATCAACTTCGACCTATTATTATTCCGCGTATTTTTACTGAAAAGTACCAACAAGTCAATTGCATGAAAAGATATTTTACAGACGGGTCCCGTCTCAATGGATCCACTGGCTTCGGTGTCTTCAATGAAAACTCTAGCGCCTTCCGCAAACTTCAGGAACCTTGTTCCGTTTTTGTTGCTGAGCTGGCAGCAATCAACTTCGCATTGGGGATGATTTCCAACATGCCCGCAGACCATTACTTCATCTTCACGGATAGTCTCAGTTCGATTGAGGCTATTCGGTCGATGAAACAAGATAGGCACTCATCTTATTTCCTTTCAAAGGTAAGGGAGCAGATGTGTGTGCTGGTCGAAAGATCATATATGATTACCTTTGTATGGGTCCCCTCACATTGCTCAATCCCAGGCAATGAGAAGGCGGACTCTCTCGCAAAGGTGGGCGCGCAGGAAGGCGAATTTTATGACAGGCAAATTTCACACGATGAATTTTACCATTTAGTGCGTTACATTCAATTATTCCTAATGTTTCTTCGAGAGCGTGGTTTAAAGGCTTGGGCTTAAGTCGTGACTTCATTCGCGTGATGAGTAGACTTATGTCCAACCCAGTCTTGTAAGCGGTCACAGCAGTCGACACATTTTCTGTGATATTCGACTGCCTTTGCTTGCGACAGTTGCAAAACAAGCTATCAAATTACAGTACCAAACTAAAATGTCATTTGATAGGCTCTGTCATACGACACTGTTGTCGAAGACCGTCACGAATGTATGTATTTTAGTTTTTCTCATAACAAGAGCTGCTGATGTTGTGCTTGTGTGAATTCTGAAAATAGCAAGCAACGATGTCCTAGTAATAATATTTCTGATTAGAAATGGTTTAATTTACACCAAATTGAGGAATTAGAACGAAATCCCACATGTCATATGAAAGTTATTTGAAAATTTTCTTTTTGCTCGAATGTTGTTCTACCGTTTGTGTTGTGTAAGAGAGACGACGGTAGAGCATGAGAGTACGAATACAAACAGACTGTCGCGCACGGCAACGAAGCGAGTGTAGTAAAAAACGTCAACGGTTTACATCCCTGGTCCAACCACTACTCGCTAGATGCTCATCTCAATAGAATAAACCTCGTGGACAGCAACATCTGTCGGTGTGGAAACGGTTACGATGACATCGAACACGCAGTTTGGCAATGTACGGATAATGACGCCGCCAGAGAGCGACTTTTGAATACCCTCGAGGCCCAAGGAAGACAACCCTATGTTCCTATCAGAGACGTGTTGGCAACCCGTGATCTCTGCTATATGCAGTCCGTTTATGTTTTTCTTCAAATGTCTAGTATAAGAATTTAATTCCTTTTGTCTTTTGTCTCTCTTTATTAGTTTTTGTTTGTCTTGTCCCCCCGTCTCGATGAGTCTCATCGTCGCCCACTGGTCACCCACCATAGCCGGTCGAACTCCGGACGAAGCTAGAACAGCACTACCGTTCATACTGGCGACAACGCTCTGATGAGACAACGAAACCCTACCCCAAGCTCCTCCCCTGATCCTATCCTTCGAAAATGTACCCTTCTAACCTCGAGTAAGCCGCGAGTAATCGGCCCAACTCCTACTAGACATAGAATTAAGTGAATTTTGTTACACACAGTGAACAATGAATTATCGGCTCCGTAAAGCTAACGCGATTTAAAAAAAAACGAACTAGATAAAAAAAAGGACTGTGACATAAAATGAAATAGATTAAGTACTTGTTCGCTAACTGGGCTAAACTCACAGTCCAGTTAGCGAATTCCACTTGCTAACTGGGCTGGCTTGTCAAACGTCAAAAAACAATGAGAGAAACTGAAATGGATTGTTTGGTCGATATTAAAAAAAAAAAAATCACGTGCATTGAATTGAAACAGTATAAAGTTTGTTATTGCTATTTTCACAGCATTCATACTCGCGAATTTAAAAAAGCTTAACGCTTTCGCAAAAACCGCTATCAAGCCTAGATTTCTGTGTGAAATGATAATATTTTCAAATTTATTTATACTAAAACTTAAAATTACATTCACTGATTACGTGACGTGTATTGTTGACGTACAACTGCTTTTTAACTGGGCTACAACCCAGTTATTGAACACCCAGTTAAAGAACGTCCAGTTAGTACGAACAAGTACTATAAACGAATGCTTTGAAGGAAAATACACTCAGAATGGCATTTCCCGAACCGGTGTTGTTTTTTAATTACGTGAATCCATCGCAACAAGTACATTTCTTGATATTTTTTAACGTTGTAAATTTCCACGTTTATTCGTGACGCATAAATGCCGCTTACGATTCTGCACACCTTCCATCTTGATTCCTCTTCACATGGAACAAGTAGGTATTACTAACCTTTTGCCTGCACAGTGAAAGCTCTAATTGGTAGTTCACTTGCACTGCCCTATAATTATGAACATGATATTGATCTGACATTGGCTGTGGAAGCCGGTGGCTTCCGCTTTCAGTTACGCAATTCAGACGGTATATAGTAATGAAATCGGGAATTGTTGTTCCAACTGGTCTGTCTGCCTTGTTTGAGAGAACATCAATTGTGATTTTGAAGTTCTTCGGCAGACAAACAAAGCAAAAGGATGATTTTGAAGTTCTTGATCTATTCTGCTCTTGCATGCCAGGCTTTGACTCAGTACAACGATGACAACGACTACAACGATCGACGATCCGATGGGAACGAACGGTGCTTTGAGCATGATGAGTTCCCAGAGCCGAGCGAATGCTGTACCCGAGCTCATTGGATCAATCAATATCTGGTGAGACCGTGTCGGTTCAGTAACACGCCACGGAGCGGCCAACGGCAGGAGCAGGAAACTGTAAGTATTGTGAAAGCAATCTGAAGTGCAATTATGAAGAATCTAATTCCAGTGCAGCGTAAGTTGTGGCGTGTACCAAATCCGAATGGGTATTCTCAACAACCAGGTGAACAGCGTCCGACTGTTCCGTCCCGCTAGGTTGAGGGGCTATGGTGACGAGGACTGGAAGCGTACGATGATAACGGCGTTGAAGCTATGCAAGCGGCGAATCACTTCGATGGTCGGTAAACGGGTCATGGAAGCTCGAGAGATGGAGCAGTGTGACGAAGCGAACGAAATTTTTTCGGAATGTTTGGATGAGCAGTTGTTTTTGGTATGAGTTACGCTGTTTTTTTTTATTTCAAACATTAACAAAAAACCCTGCTTGCAGCAATGCCCCCAGCGAGCTTGGATCCGATCGACAGGATGTGAACTGTCAAAGAGCCATCTGATTCAGGGCTGTCCATTCAGGTCGCTGACAGATGAGACGAAAAAGCAGAGGAAAGAGCGATACGACCGAAATCGAGGGCGGAATGGAAACGATGGGAACGATCAGGGCGATGATACCATGGTGGATGTTGACGACTTTGATAGAAACGATAGAAATCAGGGATGAAATCGTGACGGTGGATACAATACCAACGGGTGAAACAAAAATGGATATGATGATGAGCATAGGTACAACGGTAAAAAGTTCAACAACTCACACTCACGAGACCTAATTATGGATTGAACTGATTATATGACAGGACATATTTGGATAGAGATATAACGCATTGCGCACATTATAAGTGCGACGAAAATTGCGGAAACGGTAATAAAAGTGCAGTTTTACAATAAACCGTTTTGGTGTCTTAGGCACACCTATTCCTTGGTTCATAATGGAAAATGTGCGCAGAAGAGAAGACAAAAAGACGATACAATGTAAAATAGCACTTTATTTAGCGATTCCGAAATGTTGTGGAGTCCAGTTAGAAATGCAAAATACAATAAATAAATTTATTTATTTATCTTCATCGGTCTCACAACCACCATATTCAGAAATGAAACATTGTAGCTTGCGAATTAGATCACCAAATTAAAAAAAAAAACAGTTTCAACTCGAATATCGCATTTTTTGTAAGGTACACTGGGGCAAGTTGGACTGCGGGGTAAGTGAAAACGATATTTTTTTTTAAATCTGAATGCTTAAGTGTGGGTACGAGTAATACTGCGGATGATATCATTGGCTTTATGGACTTTCCCATTTTATCGAACTCACATTTAAGGTATAAGTAACCTGGTGAGTAAATACAAATTTCAAAAATCATGCATGCTCATGCACTTCTCATTCTCTTAGCGCGTTGCTAGATCGCTGCTCCTCTCTCCATTTACGCTGCATCGGACATAATCTGCTTGACTGCTCTGTTGACGTCATTCCAAGTGCCCTGTTTGTGACATCGACGACATTCTCTACGTTAAGGACAGGCATCTCTCTTCGCACTGCCTCGAACCTTGGACAGTCGTAGACTACATGCTCCGGCGTTTCGTCCACGTAGCCACACTCCGGACAGAGGGATGACGCTGCGTGTCCGAACCGATGAAGGTATTTCCTGAAGTAGCCGTGGCCAGAGAGGAGCTGCTCTAGGTGGAAGTTGACTTCTCGGTGTTTTCTGTTCACCCAGGTCGAAATAATCGGTATTAGTCTATGTGTCCATCTACCGTTCTCCGCTGTGTTTTACTCCTGTTGTCACTTAGCCAACGACTCCGCTCTCACCACTTTCCGTAGTCTTCCGGCTTCTTTCCGTCTGTAGCACTTGCTGTCCTCCACCAGGGTGATGCCGATAGGGATCATCCCGGCGATAACGCATACTGTTTCCTACGAGATGGTTATGTACGCACTCACGCCTCGCATAGCCATGAGCCGGAACGTACTGCTCAGTTTCCTTTGCTTCTGCTTCGTATCCAGCGCTGCAACCCAGGCTGAACCTCCATACCTCAGTATCGACGACAACACACTGGCCAAAATACGCCTCTTGCTACTGCTGGGACCAGCGTTGTTCGGCATGATTCTTGCTATCACGTTGATGGCCTTCAAAGCCTTCTCATACACACTTAGATTTTTTACCGAGATGGGCACCACCGAGCTGCTCGGCAATCTATTTGGCTGGATCTCAGTGAAAAATTTGCCGAGATTCAGTTAACAAACGGGAATTTCACCGAAATCTCGGCTAACAAACATAAATTTTGCTAAGATCTCAGTAAAAATAAATGCCGAGCCTGCTCGGTGGTGCCAATCCTGGCAAACAAAAAATCCAAGTGTGTAGGCATCAGTGTTGGCAAAATCAGAAATCAATTGATATTTTTCCGCTCTCATGGGCTCGCAATATCACGCGTGATATTGGAACAAAATATCATTCTTGATATTGATTTTACAAGCTCCTTTGATATTGCGAGACTATTCACAACGTGCAAACATCAAGCGTTTTCTTAGGAAGAGAATGCATAGTTTGCTATCTCTTTTTAATCTTCACCGATGGCAGACGCGAAGTGACTGCTGCAAGTCGTTATAAGTTTCGGCTGCATTCGGGTGTAAAGCAAAAATCATTAAACTCAATCTCACCTCAGTTTGGTGAGATTTGAAGTTGGTGAGTTTTGTTAGCTTGATATTCCGAGCTGTGATATCACAGCTTGCAAAATCAACCGCAGCTGTATGCTTGTTGATTTTTGTCTACGAAAATCAAGCGTGATCTTAGACATTGGTGAGATTTGATTTTTTGATATTTTCCCAACACCGGTAGGCATATTGGACGTGGCTGTTGAAGTTTAGCTGGTCATCGATCATCACTCCCTGGCATTTCAACATTCGCTTCGAGGTTATGGCGTGCTATGCGATGGTGATTTCTGCCCGCTGCACCGCTTTACAGTTGCTGACCAATATCACTTCCGTTTTGTGGTGTGCTATCTGCAGCTTCATTCCTTGCATCTAGTGACCAATCATGTCGTTCGCTTCGGTCGCCAACACGACGACAACGACGTCGTCCGCAAAGCCAACTATCTCAACTCCTTTGGGTAGCTTCAGAAGTCAGTTCTAGAAGTAACTCCCCAGGATCTTGCACAGGTAGTCAGGGACCCTCATTCTATGCAGCGCTTCGGCGATGGCCTCCCAGCGGTCGCTGTTGAAGGCATTGTTGACGTCGACCGTTATCACGGCTCGATATCGATCTCCTCTCCGCTTCTGTTTGGACGCCTTCTCGCCACTGTCCGAATAGCATCCACCGTCAATCTCCCTTTCCGGAATCCGAACAGCCTCTCCGACAATCCGTGCTCACTTTCCGTGCTTTTCGTCATCCAGTTTAGGTTGATCCTCTCCAAGAGTTTTTCGAGTGTATCCAGCAGACATATAGGCCTATACGATGCTGGATCCGTCGGTGGTTTTCCTGGTTTCGGCAGCAACACTAGCTTCTGTATCTTCCACCTGACAGGGAAGTGACTCTCGTTCAGGCATTTCTTCATCCTTTTTCAACGCCTCGTTGGGGATTCCATCCGGACCGGGAGCTTTCGTCATCTTCAATCCTTTCGCCACTGCTACGAGTTCCTTGTTGGTAACTTTGAAGTTATATGCCTCTCCCTCTCCGTACGGTGTAGTAGTCCTTTCACGATGACTTTCAGCTTCTCTGGGCACATTTCAGTGGGCATCGTTGGACCTCTGATCTTCACCATCACGACTCGGTATGCGTCGCCCCAGGGGTTGGCATCAGCGTCTAAACACAGCTCCTTAAAACAGTTTGACTTGCTTTTGTTTGAGTTTGGCCCTGGTTACTACTTTACGTTCCTCTCTGACTGCTTCTGTTCTTGCTCTCTGAACACGTCTTCTGGCTCTGAGACAGCTAGCGCGGAGGGTGATAATTGCCTCGTTCCACCAGTAAGCTGAACGCCGTCTGTTATTTGGCTCCAGTTTCCTCGGCATGGTCGTGTCGCATGCTCTGACTAACGTTTCTACCAACACGACCATTACGACCGGGACCATGTTCAGATCCGTGGGACCCCTGCCCACACTTCAACGAAAAGCTCCTTGTAGAAAGCCTTCGTCTTCCACGTCCGGTCGCACGTTCTCGTCCTGCCATATAGGATCGCCTGATGGTCGCTCTGTGTATATCCTTTGCACACTCTCCAATTCGTGTTTGCCACCCGCGACGGACTGCAGAAAGTGATGTCGATAATGAACTTCCAGCTGTGCCAGAGCTTCCAGCAGACTGTGTACGTTGGAACATCTGCTTCCCCACTCCACTGCCTAAGCATTGAGTCTCCTACGATGACTACCGGTCTTCGTCCGATCAGCTTTTCGGTAAGTTCATCCAGCATTTCGTGAAACTGCTCCATCGTCCATCTGCGTGGGATACTTAGCAACTGCATACGAAGGTTCCGTTATTTCTAGCTATCACGAAAGCTTCGTTTGAGCTCGCAATCACTTCTTGAATGGTGTATTTGCCCATAACTTGTATTGCAGCCAACCCAGCTTTATCCGCCACACAGTTACCGTTATCCGGAGGGACTCGATACGGTTCCGCAATGATTGCAACGTCCAACTTTGTTTCTGTCGACGACTGTGTAGTGTCACAATGATTGAGGTTTATTTGCGTTATCTCCATTACTGTTGGCCTGCCATCGCTTTTTTGGTATGCTAGTGATTTAAAGCCTCCCGTCGTATAATTGTTTCCGTCCTCTTTTTGCAGAGCATGCACCTTAGTTGCTTCGTGCGGCCTCTTGCAATGTGACCCTTTTCTCCGCATTTCCGTTTGCATGCCGACTTTTCGACGAGCTCCTTGAAGGCTGAGCTCTTGATCGAAGAATCTGTCTTCAGCTCAAAGAGCATGTTGCCTGTGTTCACTTTTCCCATTGTAATTCCCATATAAACTTCAAAGGGCCAGTGAAGTATGGGTCCGCATCCAAATAAACTATAATTTTGGTAGAATTACCAGGACCTGATTTGAAATCGATTAAGCTTGATGGAGAAAAACCAATATGTTGTACCACTCTACTGGGAATTTTAGTAGTTACAACTGCGTCGGCGTTGCATTGTCCAACCCTGCACAAAAATCCGAGAATTAAGAGTGAGATAGTTATGAAAAATGTCCCCTGTTCTACCATACTAAATGATAAGTGAGGTTCAAAATACAATGTGTTCAGGTTACAAACTGTAACATTTCTTTTTTTTATTATTTGTTTACGCTGCAGATTTCCATCTTGATTCATCTCCACACCGTAACAAGCATTACTCAGCTTTTGCCCGCCTAGTGACAAGATCTAATTGATAGTTACCTAGCTCTTGCCGTAGAATTATGAACAACAGCCGTGGATCTGACATTGGCTGTGAAACCTCGCAACTTCCGCTTCCAGCTACGCAAACCCAGACGGTATATAGTCGTGAAACCCGGAACCGTGCTTACAATTTGTCTGTCGGTCTTGGTTGAGAGAACAGCATTCGTGATTTTTGAATTCTTCAGCAAACAAACAGATGATTTTGAAGTACTTAATCCTTTTCGTTCTTGCATGCCAGGTTTTGGCTCAGTACAACGATTACACCGACTACAACGATCGACGATCCGATGGTAACGAACAGTGCTTTGAGCATGAGGAGTTTCCAGAGCCGAGCGAATGCTGTACCCGACCCCATTGGATCAATCAATACCTGGTGAGACCATGTCGGTTCAGTAACACGCCACGAGGTGGGCAACGGCAGGAGCAGGAAACTGTGAGTATTGTGGAAGCAATCTGAAGCATAATTATGATGAATCTTATTTTAGTGTAGCGTAAGTTGCGGCGTATACCGAATCAACATGGGTATTCTCAACAACCAGGTTAACAGCGTCCGACTGTTCCGTCCCTCTAGGTTGAGGGGCTATGGTGACGAGGACTGGAAGCGAACGGTCCTATCGGCTTTGAAGTTGTGCAAGCGACGAATCACTTCGATGGTCGGTATACGGATCAGGGAAGGTCAAGAGATGGAGCAGTGTGACGAAGCGAACGACGTATTTGCGGATTGTTTGGATGAGCAGTTGTTCCTGGTATGCAATTGAATGTTTTATTGTTTTATCTGATTGATGATGGCCCTATTTGCAGCAATGCCCCGAGCGAGTTTGGATTCGGACGTCAGGATGCGATCTGTCAAAGAGTCATCTAATGCAGGGCTGCCCCTTCAGGTCACTGACTGAGCAGACGAAAAGGCAGAGGGACGACCGATACAACCGAAATCGAAGACGGGGTGGGAGCGATGGGTACGGTCAGGACGATCGGAACCAGTATGATGACGAGTATGATGGCTACGATGGAAATCAGGGAAGAAATCGTGGTGATGGGAACTACAACAGCGGTCGTAACAATAATGGATATGATGATAGGAATGGATACAGCGGCAACTCACAGGCGAGACCTAATTATGGATAGTAGTTATTATCTGAGAGTTAAATTTTGATATACAGAAATAAATATCGAGATAAAGGGGTATATGTAATGAGACCACATGTTGTAGCATTTTATGATAAGGTGAAAGTTAATACTTTTCCGTTGCACGTTGAAAACCTGTTTGTGATACTACACTTCTCTTTACAGCACTATTTGAAACAAAACAAATGGAACTTTGCCCTACGAATTCGAATGTTCAAAATATGATACCAAAACCTTGAATTTCAGACAAATTTTATAAAACTTCGGATACCTCAATTGTTTGAAGACGAACAGCTTTTAGTTCTTCAGCAAGTTTTGCTTAAATTTTTCGTTCTACATCTTTTCCCAGTACAACAAACCTCTATCTTGCGAAATAAAAAGTTTGTAGGGTAGAGAACTACTTCGGCCTAATCGCCCATTTTGGGCCTATTGAGCAGAAAACTTCAAATAAATCCATTATTTCAGAGTTAACAAGTCAATTATGCGTTTGGTACGATACTTTAGTTAATAAGCTTCCGAACGAAGTCAATGAGAACGCGTGATATAAATGTTTGCACCCATTATTCCCAAAAACAAAAGAAGTGCTCCGACCGAATCAATTTTTATGTTCATCCGATAGGCCGAAGTGAATTCATTGGCGTTTCAATGGCGTTTCAATGTGTTAGGCCGAGTTTAGAATCCGTAGGCTGAGTTTGGCGTTAAGAAACAGTGTTAGACTTTTGACAATATCTCAACGATTGGTTTATCTTTATCAAATCTTTTGGTACATACGGAAAGGTAAATAAATTTGCAAGCCATCAGTAATAATAACATTCCGTTTGGTGCTAAATTGCGCTAGATTAAGAAAGACTAAGTGCGGGTTGTGCTTAATAGGCCGGAAATGGGGTAGTTAACCCTATTACTGCACCATCTTTGCGGCCAAAACTTGAACTATTTTAATCCACTAAAATGTAGGCGTAACTAATCCAAGAAACTTCACTCAATTGGATGCAATCCCAGAACGTTATTATTTTTTCTCCTAGCCCATTGTTCGTTTTTTTTTAACTCTTTATTTGTTCCAAATTCAAAATAAATTACATTTCATTTTAACCTAGGTGCTCCAGTTACTACAGTAACTTACCAGCCTTAATTGTTATGATTTATATCTAAGTGTTTTTACATTGTTCCTGCCTTGGCAATTCAGTATTTTAAACAGGTTTTTTAAACCTGCATGTCAGTATAACAATTGAAATCTTAAAACTAAAAACTAAAACTAAATCTTATCTAAGTATAAAGGGAATTAATCGTTGCAATTGAGGATTGCAACGATTTTTGCCTGAAATTATTAATTATTTTGTTGGACATTTGTTCTAAAGTCTCAACATTCGAAATACTATGTACTTCGGTAGTACTTTACTAGGGAAGCAACTTAAAAATCATTTTCAGAACTTTGTTCAGAATCCTTTGAAGTGCTTTTTTCCTGGTAGTGCAACAACAAGACCATATTGGCACAGCGTAAAGCATGGCCGGTCTAAAAACTTCTTTAAATATTAGAAGTTTATTCGTCAGACAAAGTATGGATTTCCTGTTTATAAGAGGATACAAACATTTTATATATTTGTTACATTTGGCTTGAATGCCCTCAATGTGATATTTAAAAGTTAATTTTTGGTCAAGTATTAATCCAAGATATTTCACTTGGTTTGACCAGGAAATTGGAACTCCGTTCATAGTGACTATGTGACTACTACTATGTTTCAAAAATGAAGCTCTAGGCTTATGTGGAAATATTATAAGTTGAGTTTTGGAAGCGTTGGGAGAAATCTTCCATTTTTGTAAATAAGAAGAGAAAATATCTAAACTTTTCTGCAGGCAAATCAGGGAGGTCCGAAGTGAAAATGTTATACAATATAGGCCCGAGAATGCTACCCTGAGGAACTCCTGCTCTAGCAGGTAGTCGATTAGATTTGGAATTTTGATAATTTACCTGCAGAGTTCTGTCAGTTAAATAATTTTGAACTAATTTCATAATATAAAGTGGAAAATTAAACTTTTTCAATTTAGCCATCAAACCTTCATGTCAAACACTGTCGAATGCTTTTTTTATGTCTAGAAGAGCAACTTCAGTTGAGTGGCCTTCCGATTTGTTTGAACGAATTAAATTGGTAACTCTTAAGAGTTGATGAGTAGTTGAATGCCCATGGCGAAATCCAAACTGCTCATCTGCAAAAATTGAGTTCGTATTGATGTGAAGCATCATTCTATTTAAAATTATCGTTTCAAAAAGTTTACTTATTGAAGAAAGCAAACTTATTGAACGGTAGCTAGAAGCTTCAGCTGGATTTTTATCCGGCTTCAGAATTGGAACAACTTTTGCATTTTTCCATTTATCAGGAAAGTATGCCAAATGGAAACATCTGTTAAATAATTTTACCAAGAAAGACAAGGTACTCTCAGGGAGTTTTTTGATGAGGATATAGAAAATTCCATCATCACCTGGAGCTTTCATATTTTGAAACTTTTTAGTTATAGACCTTACTTCGTCCAAATCAGTCCCCCAGGAATCTTCAAAAATATTTTCCCGAGAGAAAATATTCCGAAAATCCCGAGCAACCTGATTCTCAATAGGACTAGTAAGACCCAAACTGAAATTATGGGAACTCTCGAATTGCTTAGCAAGTTTCTGAGCTTTTTCCAAATTTGTGATCAAAATTTTACCACCTTCTTTAAGCGCTGGAATAGGTTTTTGAGGTTTTTTTCAAAATTTTTGTGAGTTTCCAAAAGGGTTTGGAACTCGGGTCTAATTTAGAAACATTATTTTCAAAAGTTCTGTTCCTCAGGGCAGAGAATCGCTTTTTAATTTGTTTTTGCAAATCCCGCCAGATAACTTTCATGGCATGATCGCGTGTTCTTTGATATTGTCTCCTACGGACATTCTTAAGACGGATCAATAGCTGAAGATCGTCGTCTATTATAACTGAATTGAATTTAACCTCGCATTTTGGTACTGAGGCAGCTCTTGCTTCAACTATAGAAGTAGTCAGAGATTCAAGAGCATAATTAATTTCATCTTTGGTTTGCAAAGGAATGTTTGGATCGAAGTTATATTCCATAAATGTTCGATATTGCTCTCAATCAGCTCTACGGTAATTGAAAGTAGAGCTGTTGGGATTACACATTATTTCTTGGGATATTTCAAAAGTCACTGGAAGGTGATCAGAACCGAAGTCAGCATGGGTAACCAATTGGCTACAAAGTTGACATGAATCAGTTAAGACCAAATCAATAGTTGAGGGATTTCGTGCTGAAGAAAAGCATGTTGGGCTGTTTGGATATTGAATAGTGTAATAACCTGCCGAAAAATCATCAAACAAAATATTACCATTGGAATTGCTTTGAGCATTATTCCATGAGCGGTGTTTTGCATTAAAATCACCAATAATGTAAAATTTAGACCTATGACGGGTAAGTTTCTGAAGGTCACCCTTGAGAAAATTCTTTTGCTGGCCTACGCATTGGAATGGCAAATAGGCAGCTATAAACGTAAGTTGTCCAAATTTTATTTCAATCGAAACTCCCAAAGTTTCAAAAACTTTGGTTTCAAATGAAGAAAGAATGTTATGTTTGATTCGACTATGAACAATGATGGCAACGCCACCACAGGGTCCATCAAGACGATCATTTCTATAAATTAAATAATTTGAGTCCTTCTTAAGTCAGGTTTAAGGAACGTTTCAGTTATAACGGCAATATGCACGTGATGAACTCTCAAAAAGTTAAATAGCTCGTTTTCATTATCTTTAAGAGATCGAGCATTCCAATTTAAAATATTTAATGCTTTAAAATCCATTACTGAATTTTAAAGTCATGACAATATTATTTGCAAATTTTACTCCAGTTTGAATAGCATCAAACATGGAGTTAGATTTAAGCATATCAGAAATCATGTCAATTAATGATTTCTGTAAAAATTCCATTTTAGGGGCAGTAATGCTTCAATGCTTAAAGTCAAAATTGTCAAAATCTCCGTTAGAATTACGTTGGTTAGTATTTTGATTTCTACCCGGTGCAATAGCAGCATAGGTAGCTCCATTAACTCGCTGAACATTGTTAGCAGCGAGGGGAGTAGGTACAGATGAAACATTTGAAGCAGAGGTGATATTTGTACCTACGGGTACGAATGTAGAATTTGTTCCTCGCTGACCGTTGTTAACAGCAGAGGAATTTGTACCTGGTCGGAAACGTGGAGCGTTTCCTACCTGTCGGTTAGAACGAGATTGTAGGATCGCTTTGCGAGTCTTACATTAAAAAAATTTGGATTTGTGGTTTTCACCAATTTCTTAGGATCTTCCTTCATAAGACAGTCGTCCTTTGCGTGAGAGGAATCACCACAATTCATGCATTTAGCTGGCATGTAGCAATTTTTAGTTCCGTGACCCCATCCCTGGCACTTACGGCACTGAGTGAGGTTTTGGAAATTTCCTCCAGTATTTCTGAAGTGTTCCCACTTCACTCGGACATGGCGCATAAGGCTAGCTTTTTCTAAGGCCTTAAGGTTGTTTAGTTCACTAGACTTGAAGTGAACTAAATAAAAATCATTAGAAATCCCGTTGCGTGAATCGCCAGGACGGGATTTCATTTTCATTTTGATTACTTGGAGTGGCACAACTCCAAGTAATTTTGCCAGTTCACCACTGGGCAGTCCTTTCATGACAACCTTGAACACACGTTCAGTTTTGGTGTCGTAAGTAAAAAATTTATGCTGCTTCTCAGTAAGATACTTGAGAAGACATTTAAATCCGTCCAAGGTTTCAGCCAAAACACGGCATTCACTCCGACGTCCAATTTGTAGTGAAAACTTAACTTTCACGAAATTCAAAAGTTCCATGCGAAGAGCATGGAAATCGGAAGTTGTTATCACAATAGGGGGAATCTTTTCCTTCTTGGCATTAAGTCGGGAAAGTTTACTAGAATTTTTCTTGGATGATGGATTATTCTCATCATCCGTGAGCAAATCAAATTGATTACTCAAATTAATTTCATCAGAAGGGGGGTCAAGAGTTTGCCCCTTTCTTTTGCGTTTAGGCGCCATGGCGGCAGTAAATTATTATCCAAATCGACTTCCAAACAGATTACTATAAGAATCTGAAGGATCGAAGAGGAATTTTCCAAATCGATATCCAAGAAGGATTACCTCGGCTAGGGTCCGAACAAGGATCGAAGAGGAATAAGAGTTGAAAAAGGTAGAAATTTTACAGGTTGAGCACTGAAAAGTGCTGTTTAAATTTGTTGTAGCTTTAGGTAGTAGTAACACTTCCTTCAGCAAAAAGCAAATAGATCCGCACGGCAAGAGAGCACGATGCGGACTGACCCACTGTTCGTTGATTTTAACTCCCGATGTTGAGGTGTCTTCAAAGAAGTTGCTTGAGATGTTATTCTGCATCTTCTGAAATATCACTATACATTTTTTATTAAGATGGTATTAAACTTAGAAAAACTAACTTATTGTAATCACATGATAATATGTTTATGTCCTCGGCAGGGGGAACGACACTCATTTGGAAGTATATTTTCAGTCTAGTAATGACTTGGGATTTTCGGGGAAAACACAATTGATGTAATTTTTTGAGTGTGTCGTGTTGACGAAAATAGACCAGGGATAGAAAAAAATAGTTGGGAATAGATCAGGGAATGGATGTGATGTGAAGGGTGTTAAAAAGTTTCAGAATGATTACGAGTCTGAATGTGAAGAGGATTTTCGATGAACATTTCAAATGCTCCTATCTGATTTGATCGATTCTCTTCATCGACTTTCTCTTTTGATAACCACTGCCATGCAAACAGATTTCGCGCTAATTTAGCCATATAGTTTGATAAAGGAGGTTCTTATCTAGCGTCCAAAACGGCAAATACGACAGGAAAAGGTTTTGCAGCTGAGTTATTAATTAAAGAGAAAGTCGATCAAGAGAATCAATCATTACAGATATGACCTTTACATCACCTGTGTTGTCAATACTAATATTCACATCTCACTGCGTCCTAGCAAGAAGTACGGTCGACTTGTTTCGCGCTCCGTTGTTTTGGAAGTTTTCTCGGTATTCGCTTGATATAAATTATCAGTTTTTTCTCACTAAGTGACTCCTGGCATAGTTCCCGGTAAATTGATCGAAAAGTGAGTTTTTTGTAGTAGAAAGTGTCATTTTCGGAACGATTAATCCGTGCTATTGGTAATTCGCAAAAACAATTTGGGCATCATCGTTGCGTGGTCACGCATACGCGCTCACGCATACCCGCTTACGTATCATCATCATCGAGTGTGAGCACCCGTTTCTACATCTACATCGTTCATCAATCATCGTGCGCCTGTGTGCGCTGAGTACCGAGCCTCGATCAAGTGCACCACAACGAAGGTCATCCACGCAGCGCGTCTCTTCCAGCCATCTGTGTAAACGCCTACACATATAACGCTCGGTGGTAGTAGTATAGGATTATCAGATAAGTTTTTGTTTTTTTCTTGATTCTTTTCCTCCCCCATTAGTTAAATTTTCATTTTGTATTTCTGTGTTTGTAGTGTTTTCTGTGTATTGTGTCTGTGCGTTCAGAGGGAGAGCGTTTTGCGCTCCCACTAGTTGAACAAAATGGATGTTTTGTCAGAAGACGACATGGATGACCATTCATCTAAGAATAATGATGATGTCATCCCTGGTTCGTCGTCTCAGTCTGTCAATGGGCAGGATGAGAAAAGCACCAGATTGCGGGCCTACCCGAATGACTCGACTGGCCCATGGGTTGTCTATTTTCAGCCCAAAAACAAACCTTGTTCAGATATCTGATGATCTGACAAAGCGATTCTCTGCCGTGACCGAAATAACGAAGGTTAGGCACAACAAACTTCGTGTGACCGTCGCTAACCTGAAACAGGCCAATGACATTGCTGTTTCCCAGTTTTTCACACTGGAATATAGGGTGTACATTCCAGCCTCTGATGTGGAGATCGAAGGCGTGGTCACTGAGGCGAGCCTGAACTCCGAGATACTGGAGAAGCAAGCGGTTGGCCGATTTAAGAACCCCTTGCTTCCTCCGGTAAAGATACTGGCCGTTGATAGAATGAAGTCAGTATCGCTCAGCGAGGGTAAAAGGAGTTTTACCCCCACAGACTCGTTTCGGGTGACCTTTTCTGGATCTGCCCTTCCTCAATACATCGAGCTGGGAAAACTTCGTCTTCCTGTGCGGTTGTTTGTACCTCGGGTCATGAACTGCCAGAATTGTAAGCGGTTGGGACATACGGCCTCCCACTGCGGCAACAAGGCACGCTGCTCCACATGCGGGGAGAAGCATGAGGATGGCGCCTGCGCAGCTACTGCACCAAAATGCGTGTACTGCAATGGAACTCCTCCTCATGCTCTCTCGTCGTGCCCGGCGTACAAACAGCTCGGGGACAAAATGAAACGCTCCCTTAAGGAACGTTCCAGGCGGTCTTTTGCAGAAATGCTTAAGACAGCCAAGCCATCGACCAACGAAACAAATCCCTTCGCTCTTTTGTCAGATGACGAGTCTGGCTCTGACTTGGCTGAGGAGGGAGTTTCTTTCAGTTTTCCGGAAGGTTCTGCCCGGAAACGAAAACGCATCCGTTCGCGGAAAGTTGCAGATCAAGAACCCCAAATCAGCTTGCCCAAATCAAGGAGTGGTGGAAAAAAGGAGACTTCTACTCCTCCTGGATTCCGCAGAACTGATTATACCCAGGATTTTCCACCTCTTCCGGGGACATCCAAAACCCCTGATGCCCCAATTTTAAGAACAGAAACCCCTTCTTCATCTGGGCTGTTCTCATTTGATGACATTGTGGACGGTATTCTCAAATACCTCAACATTTCTGATCCTCTGAAAAGCATTGTCCTCACATTGCTTCCGACTGTGAAATCCTTCTTGAAGCAATTGACTTCAAAATGGCCCCTTCTTGCAGCTATCATCTCCTTCGATGGATAATTTTCCAAACGAGGTCGGGGATTTGATCACTGTTCTACAGTGGAATTGTCGAAGTCTTATTCCGAAATTAGATTCGTTCAAGTATTTAGTCCATAACAATAATTGCGATGCATTTGCCCTCTGTGAAACATGGCTCTCTTCAGAAATTGATCTCCCTTTT